CCCCAAAACCCCAAAACCCCAAAACCCCACGACGCTGGAAAGTGAGTAAGACTATTAGTAAGTTCAAGAAAATATATGATTTGATGATGTAAGACTTTAAAATTTGAATATTAAATAATGATTGTGGACAAGTCCTAATTGTTTGGTTTCTACAGGGATATCACCTCACTTGATCAAGGCGAACATACCATTCTTGAGTATGTCTGGATTGATGGTACTGGAATAAGCATGAGATCTAAGGCTAGAGTCCTAAAGAAGATCGTGACATGTCTTGAGGATATCCCCGAATGGAATTACGACGGATCATCTTGCCAGCAAGCAAAGACCTTAGCATCAGAGATTATCCTAAAGCCTGTTGCAATGTATAGAGATCCCTTTAGATTGGCTAACAATTTACTGGTGCTGTGTGAGACCTACATTTGGAAGGATGGCAGATATGAGGAATTAGCCCCAGCTAATACAAATTTCAGACACTTCGCTAGACCTATTTTCGAATCTGGAAAGATTGAAAAACCATGGTTTGGAATCGAGCAAGAATATTCTCTTTTGGAGAACGATACTAAATTTGTAAAGCAACCTCTAGGGTGGCCCAGAGGAGGATTTCCTCAATCTCAAGGCCCATACTACTGTTCTGTGGGTGCGACTTATTGCTTTGGACGAGCAATCAGTGACGCAATGATTAAAGCATCTATTTATTCAGGGCTCAACATCTCTGGAACTAACAGTGAGGTCAAACCAAGTTAATGGGAATACTAAATCGGACCTTGCGAAGGGATAGATATTGCTGATCAAATTTGGATGTCCAGATACATTATTCATCGTATAGCTGAAGATTTTAATGTGTCAGTAAGTTTCGAACCCAAACTTTTCAAAGATTGGAATGGCGCCGGTTGCCATACAAATTATTCAACAGAGAAAATGAGAATGGGAGAAGGAGGTCTGGAGTACGTCTACGACATTATCAATAAGCTTGCTACAAGGCACATCTAACACATCGAATTTTATGGAGATAATTCAAAGAGACTGACTGGGCATCATGAGACTTCAAGTAAAGATACATTTACATTTGGAATTGGAGACAGATCTGCCTCTGTCAGGATCCCAACAACTACAGCCTAAAAGAAGCTAGGATATATCGAAGACAGACGTCCAGCCTCAGATATGGATCCATACATGGTATGCGCAATGATTGTTGACACAACTTTGCTCGAGAAATCTAATGTAGAGTCCCTAATCCAACACTATAGAAAGTGGAGACAAGAAGTTTGGGAGTGATTTACGTGTTTGTATATACTAATTTTAGCCGAAGCCGATGTTTTAGTAATTCTTAATAATAAGAGTTCATATATCTTTACAATAAGCTCAAGTAATCTCATGGGGTTTTGGGGTTTTGGGGAGATCGGAA